ATTAAAATTTAAAGTACATATAACAATGACAAATTATTTTAAGAGCTTCATAATTGCTATTTTAAATGTAGTTTACTAAAATAGTTTAATAGATATAAGTCCGTAAGTAAGCTGAGACGTCTTATAACATTTCAACAAGGTCGGGTGTCAAATGGCAATGAACATGAAAGTTATTTGTATAATCTTTTTGTTTGCCTCGTGACATCCTTTGAAGATCTTGATTATCTTTATAAAATGCGACTCGCAATATAATAAAATATATTAATACTGTATTAAAACATTCAAATAAAGCGTAACTTAAAAATGAATAACTAGTGGATAGTTCCGAATGTAGTGTATGGTTACAGAACATTCATTGGAAAACTAAAGGCAATATGAAACATATAAAATTCGTGGTTTTAAGTTGCGAATGTCGTACACATATAATTTGGGTTCAAAAAGGCCATCTTTGAATCACCCAGTGGAAGTAACTCGCAAAAATTTATTTAAAAAACATGCGTTTTACGTCCAGGTGTCGTAAAAAATACCAGACTATTTTATTGTTGGGACGAAAATGTTTTAGTGTCGATCGTAAAATGAGAAAGATGTGAATTTCACCGACTGTACCGCTCTAGAATACAGCGGGTCTGTTAGTGATGAACTTAAAAAAATATATGTTCACGTAAAAGAATTTAAGTTTTTATATACATTCTGAGTTAAATAACAAATACCAATACATATATTTGATAAGATAATCTTGATTCTTGATATTTAATTTTAATTACAAACAGGATAATGTTTTTCTTACGGAATCGATATTTTTCTTCGCAGTACAGATGTATTGTCCTTATAGAAACATAAAAACAGCGATGTCAAGAGAACTATTATACAGTTAATTGGTTTATCAATTATCTGTATTTATATAACAAGGATGTCTAAGTAATATGCAACAAAAACATTTATTAAAGCGTTCCAACGCTCCATTATTGGCGCCGTATATTGCAAGGACCGTGTTTTTTTATAATAAAGGTAATAAAAAGTCCGAACTATCAAACACATCGATACAAACTGTACATTTAAATGGATTTTTTTATCACGTACGAATTCAATCGTAAAATTTGGTTAACTGATATTCATTTCTGAAAATATAATTCGCTAGAACTCAATTTAAATTTGGTGAAAATGGGGTTAGAGTAATTGTGAAAATTATTCCTAGTTAACAAATTAAAACCGAATAATTTACATAGATATGTATATAACAAAGCTAAATGTGAAAATAATTTACAAATGACGGACAGATATTAGGGAAAAGTCGAGCATACTACATAGAAGCCAATTATAAACTAATGATGTACCGTTGTACGTCCAATTAATTAGAGTTCGTGTATTAAAAGTAATCATTGAGAGAGATTTGGGTAGAAAAGCGTATGTTCTTTAGAAGGAGGTGTTTATATTACGTAATTATATACATATTTTGAGGTACGCCATTAGGTAATGTGGACTTTAGAAGTAAGTAATTAAAAAGTCATGTATATAGATAAATCCCTCGACTAAACTCCTCGCTAGAACATTCATGACCTCATACGACACGCATTCCAATGTTTTCGCCGAGCGCAGTACAATAATTCGATTAGTTTCGATGTTTTGGAAGATCACGTTTTTTCAATCTCATTTAATTGAGACGCGAATCGCATCCGCTATGGAGATCTGCGAAAAAAACTCGTAAATCTTTAAAATATTATCGGTGTTTTTCAATTTCTGTTGGACTTGCATATTTTGTTTTTAATTGAATCTGAATTTTATTTGAAATTAAAATCGCCAGAATCGCTGAAATAAATTTAAAAATTATATCCATTAAAATTTACTACAAGGTCATCTTATCACAGATACAGTGTAACTTAAAATCCAAATATTTCTTGTATTTAATTTGGTTGAGAAAGAAATAAATACACTTAGGTTTTATAAAGAATAAAGCTCAGATATATAAGGATTTAATATTTATTTTTTACCAGACTCACACAAAATATTAAGTTTGATATAATTATATGACCACAATTTATTTTCTCATTCGTATAAAACATTTGATTTTATTATACATATATAATTCACAGAGCGTGTTGATCTGAGAAGTAGCTTAAATTTCATTGATATTATTAAATAGCAATATAATATTTCCTTTTTATTTGAAACGCTCTTCTCAACGAGGTTCGATTGAATAGATTTATTTTATAGCCAATAAACCACTACCTATTTTCATATAGTTATGACTTGAGTTATAGCGTTTTTAAACATTTGAATATGCTTTATGTTTACAGTCATAAAATATGAATTACGTATCTGGACTAAATGGAATGTATGTTTTTTAATTATGATAAATAATCTTGTTTACACCCACTGTAAGGGAGAATGAAATGTTTCAGGCCGGCTTCTTATTGCCAGTGAAAATAATACAGCGTTATTGAGGTGTTCTAAATTTGAGGCACGTCTCTCGTTTACACCAAGCTATTTATTTTGAATAAGGTTTCGTTAAGTAAAAGTAAACTCGAGGGATTTTGACCCAAGCGAGAGGAAAAAAATTAATGTTTCCTTTTGATTCGACGTAGATAAAAAAGTATACAAGTGTCGTTTATTCTTTCGAATGAAGCTTAAAATTCTCAAGAGTTTCTATCTCGAGGTGCGGATAAATTAAGGAGAACAAGGCGGTTTGATTTAATTAGCGAATAGATTCCTTCAGTCGCTGAATGTAACAAGTATCATTAGTACCCTAAAACCATTAATTACGGACGTCAATTTAGGAATCAGCGTCAAGTTTAAGTTGTTTTTGAATTAGAATTATGACGTGCGTAAAGGAACAATAATGAAATGTTCCGATTCTGACGAAAACCATCAATTATAAAAATGAAATTTCTGTACAAAGAAAATAAGATATTCTTAGCTGCATCAAATTGGGTAACAAGAGGACAGGCAATGAAAAATTATGATATATTTAAATAAAAATGCCTTTAAAAGTTTAGAACATGTGGTCAAAATGTTGATGTTTAGCGTTAACAGTGACAGTTCTCAGAGATCTCTTGTTTTAGGGTAATCGTGTATGAAGCGTGATGGAGAGATTTCCCAGGGGCAGTAAGGAATCGATAGCTATTGTGATTCCCCTTACATTGAATTATATAGAAGGGAGCGTAGACATTGCCGAGTCGATCTGCTTCGCCTTTTATCAATATTTGCCTATTTGATTTTAGAATAACACATACGTGAATACCAGATTGTGTTTGTTGTTTAACCGAGACGTTCAGAGTCGGAAAGTTTATGCTTAACGTACTCAAGATTATTATATATAATTTTAACATACTGGTTTAATTTGTTGAGTAAATTATTGTGTAATCACTATAAGATTATCCAAATAGAATGTTCCCCTAAAAGTTTTAATATTACTTACAGTGACAATGAAAGAATTAAAAACAAGATTAAAAGGCCCATAACAAATGCTTTTTTTATCTCATCATATAAGAGGGTTTCAGGTCGTCTTATGTTTTCCTTTTAATAACACTTATATTACAGCACCTTTTAAGTCTTAGAGTGTGGAATTTTTACGATCTTAAATATTTATGTCTCATAAAAATAGGAATTGAAAGGACGGTGTTGCATCTCGATGGAAGTGTGATAACGCTTCAGTGATTTATAATTGTAAAAAAACATTATCAGTTTTATTCATAATAATTTTGTTATTTTTATATTTACGTTTAATATTGAAGAGATATTTCAATGCGTAGGATTAAATAGAAGGCCACTTCTGAGGATAAAATATGGTTTATAAGATATAGAAAATGAATCACTGATTATTTTATTACTCGGAAAATCGTATTTTTTTTTAAGTTCTTAGTTTAGAAAAATGTGATTAAGTAAATCTACTTTCTATGTAATTGTTACTTTAGCCAAGAAATTTATCAGTATCTTTTGTGTATTAACTATATATTTTCTATATGCAATATATTTGAGCAAATAAAAAATACATTATCTTAATGTCGTTTGATGTTATTTATTGCCATTTACATTAATGACTCCTGGTGTATGTGATTTAGTCCGAGTTGGACGTACTTAGGTATATATGTATTTTATTTTTGCTCTCATGTTTGATAAAGATTAATAAAAATTTTACTCTTAAATAACGTATCTCTTACCTGTTTTTTGAACATAAGATTTTTATTATAAAATGACGAATACATACCTGAAACAAAATAATAAACACACATTAATATTGTCAGTATGAATAAAATTTAGAAGATTATTATCTGATGTAGTTTTATCACAGCTGATGTTAGTAGTTACTTTGATCATTGTTTTAAAATTTTCTGTGATAAGACGACATACAGATTTTTTACTATATAAATGACATAATAAGCTAGCTGTTCCCTGCTTCTTGGTGAAGGTTTATTATTTAATAAGAATATTGATCAAATCTTTATAAGGCATACTTTGTACTGTCATATTTTCCATTATTATAACTACTATCAGTGTTTAAACCAATTTGTTGATTTCACATATAATTATGTTAATGTATCCCAGTTTAAGTTGCAATTCATTCCCGTATAAATGATTCTCATATGATTCGTCGCTCGCAGTTCGGTAACAATACATCAATAGGTCAAATTTTCTATAGAAGTCTCAATCCTTAATCCATTGTAATCCCACACGTGTGTCACACACGGACAACTCCAGGGGAAAAAGCGCAATGAAAAATCAGTTTTATTGTGTTAAAAATTAAATTGAATTTCATATGACTAAAGTTATATGTATCGTATGCTTTCAATAGGAGCATTCAACGTGAATTATATATATTTTTATATAATTTCAATATATATAAATAAAACCAGTTACTAATGAACTGATATGAATGATTGGGCACATTCGTAATTTTTAAATATGAAATTCCAATATAAACTTCCCGATTTGGAAGTACAAGTAAAAGTTATTTCATATCAAGTATGTAATCACTGTCAAAATATTACATAAACATATTACAATTAAAACAATTTCGACTCTCCTGCTACGTGATATGAATGAAATTCGTGTGTGACATCCACCGATCGTTTAACCAAGGGCACATTTGCAGACCGAAGGGTAAACACAAAGGCCCAGGACGAGAACAAAGCGAGTATTGAAAGTTCTGCAAAGGGCACATGGTACCCAAATAATAGGCCACAGAATTCTAACTGACGGTCCTCTATTGAGAACGACATTCTCGCAATTCCTTTGACCTACGGTAAGAACAAATTATTTGATGGCATATAAGATTTTATTATTACACAAAAAACTATTACTGATATATTGACGCTTACAAATTCTATACAGTATGGAACGATGTTACACAATGAGACATACGTATGAAAATCTCTCCAGATTTAAGTCCTAACTATTAAATAAGAACACATAAGGCATAATTAGAATTTAAATAATACTGAGATCTAAGATTTTGACGAGTATTCATTTAAATGAAACTGATATTTTACGGATGTACTACAACAATTTTATTTTTGATTATAATGTACAGACTCCCGACATTTCGGTTACTTAACGATCTCGTCGGGGGAATGTAGTTTATAATTAAAAAAAAATGCGTAGCACATCCGAAAAAAATTTAGTTTCATTTACCTATACTGTATAATTAATTGCGATAACAATACATGATAAATTAATATTAGACTAATGGATAAAACAAATCGTGTTACACTGCAATATAAATTGTAATAATCGCAGCCGAATAGTTTAATCAGCATCGAATATGTAACCGCAGATCGGATCTATATTACATAATTTCGGGATATTAAAACCAGTGTCATTAATTTGATGTCAAATGTTTCGTTGAACCATAAATATGACATTGTTACTTTAACCATATCGTCGGTTCAGCTGTTAACATCTAACAAGACAGATATTTAGCATTCTATGTATGTATACATTTCAATAAAGTAATCCGAGGTAAATTTCTATAGAAAGGAATTCTTAAGTTCTTATAAATGTTTATGCGAATGCTTCCTACTCGATGTCTAAGTCACAAAAGGAGTTTTTTTTAATAACAAAAGCTCCGCATTTATTAAAATGTTGTCAACTTTTTTTTTCTGCTGAGTTTGTGACCGGTTTTATTGTGATGAAAAATGTGATGCTTTTGGGGATATTATACCGAAATTACATATTTCATTCCCGTTTTTGTTGGGATCTTTTAATAAGCTTATTTAGGGAATAGTACATTTATTCCGCGGCTTTGTTCGTTCGTGTGTTTGAATTTTAATGTTCTTTATTTATGTGATTTGTGGGACAGAAAGTAACATGCCACTAGAGTTATTAGCGCTAATCAGATACCCTGTTTTATGATAGTTGGATGCAAAATGTTCATCATCATCACCCTAGCGTTTGTCCCGGTTGTTCGTCCCGCCCAGGGCGGGAGAACCCAGGGTCCGCTTTCCCACTCAGTTTCTTCCACTTAGCCCGGTCTTCGGCATCCTTCTTGTGGAGTCCATTGGCACGCATGTCATCTTGCACGACATCAAGCCAACGTCTTTTGGGCCTTCCTCTACCCCTGGCGCCAGGTAAGGTCATATTGAGGCATTTGTGACCCACGTAGTTTTCCGGTCGTCGTAAGACATGGCCGTACCAGCGTAGGCGACTTTCCTGCAATTTGTCGGCAATGTCACGGACATGCAAACTGCCCCGAATGTGTGAGTTACGAACGCGGTCTTTCCGCGTAACGCCACACATCCAGCGCAGCATATTCATCTCCGTGACATGCAACAACCGCCGGTGCCGCTCCAGCAGAGGCCATGCCTCACTGCCGTACATAAGAACAGGCCTAATGATGGTTTTATAGACCTGTCCCTTCAGCACGACCGGCATTTTAGGGTCACAAATAACTCCAATCACCTCACGCCACTTCGCCCAAGCCGCAGTTATACGAGCTTTGATGTCGCGATCGATGTCTCCGGACGCATCGAGCTCAGATCCAAGGTACTTGAAGTGATCCGTACGCCCCACCATGACGTCATCGATCCAGATGGAGGTAGGATCCGAGCTATTGCAAGCCATATACTCCGTCTTCGTCGCATTAATTTTCAGCCCGCCGTTCTCAAGTGCCTCTTTCCACTCGTGCACACGCCGTATTAAACGTCCCTTGTCCTCATCTACCAGTGCGATATCATCAGCGTACATAAGCAGCCAAGGCGGTGGTAACTTCTGTACACTGGCTGACAGTTCGTCTAATATCACACTGAATAGATATGGGCTTAGGACAGATCCTTGATGCACGCCTACAGTAATAGGGAAAGGTGTGGTGTCACCAACAGCGGTCCTGACTATAGCATCGGAATTGTGGTACATGTCTCGTACGATTTCCACATAGGTATTTGGCACCATCTTGGACCTCAACGCCCACCAGATTATCTCTCTGGGAACACAGTCAAAGGCCTTCTGCAAATCCAGAAATAGGAAATGAAGAGGCATATTCTTTTCCCTGTGTTTCTCCATGAGAATCCTAAGGGCGAAAATAGGGTCCATGGTACCACGTCCCGGTTGGAAACCGTACTGGAAATCCGACACTGTACACTCCTGCCGGATTCTGTTATCAATTATGCGCTCGAAGAGTTTCATGGTGTGTGACATCACTTTTATACCACGGTAGTTACCGCAATCCTGAGCAGACCCTTTGCCCTTGTAGACCGGCGTTATGAAACTCAGCCTCCACTGATTCGGCATTTTCCGGTGGTTCAGGATTAGGTTAAAAAGGCTAGTAAGGATGCACACACCACGAGCACCCATCGCTTTCCACGCTTCAATTGATACCTCATCCGGTCCGACAGCTTTCCGATTTTTCATGCGACGAAGAGAATCGAGTACTTCACCAGACGTAATCGGTGGCACAAGTCCTAGGTTTGGAGGAGGTGCTGGTGGTCGCACCTCTTGGTGCTGAGTGTTCAGTAATCCGTGGAAATAAAAGCGCCATCTCTCCTTCACTGCACACTCATCGTACAAGAGCGTTCCGTTAGCGTCAGTAACACAGCGGCAGTGACTTGTATCCTGCGCTGCCCTGATCCTAGAGCGTGCTAGTTTATAAATGAGCTTATGCCCCTCAGGCGAGTCCAACTTCGCATATAGTGGTTTTTTTTTTTTTTTTTTTTTTTTTTTTTTTTTTTTTTTTATTCTAAATATATTGTTTAATATAATGGTAATAAAAATACACAAAAGAGATATAAAAGTTTACACGTTAAGAAATGTTATAGATGTATAAAGACTTAAAACTATGTGATGAAACGATGAAGAGCCCGAGGGGCTGGAGGGCTTTTGCGATTTGATACAGCGGTCCTCCAGCTCCCAAGTGCAAAGGGTGATAATGAGGATGATTGATGAACCTAATGCTAACTTAAAACTAAGAGTCTGAGCCGACATAAATGTATATGTAAGGAAGGGATATGTACAAGGATATTTAAAAAAAAAAATAAAAGAAAAGAAACAGTTATTTCACGTATTAGTAAGTTTTGCAGGACGTCCAGTGACAGCCATAGGTGTGCGATTAATAGAAATGAAGTGGAATGAAGTATGAAGTTATGTCTTATTGAACGATTTAAGATTGTTTATGATATATTTAGAGAAATTGATGAAAGATAAGGTGGCTTCTTTGTTCTCCAGAAGGGAGGCCATGTTGAAGGGAGACACCCCGGCGTGGCGGCAGATGATAATCTGATGGTCTGATCTCTGTGCGATGAACCGCGGGCAGTCCTCGAGCACGTGTCCCATTGACTGCACCGTGGTGTCGTCGCACGGACAGACAGCGTCCTCCGTGACCTTAACCCTGTGTAGATATTGTTTGGTGTAGGCGTGTCCTGTAAGTGTTTGGGTTAGTGTGAATGTGTTGTGCGCAAGTGAGTGTAATTTAATGATGTGTTTAATTGTAGGAAGGTGTTGTTTGGTGTATTGTCCTTGTGGCTCGCTCTCGTATCGAGACTGCCAGACTGAGGCGTGGAGTGTTCGTGTGGAGTGTTTTATATATGTGATTGGAAATTGTGTGTAGTCCGGGGCTCTGTGGAGCTTGGCCGCCCGCTTGGCAGCGGTGTCCGCAGCCTCGTTCCCCACTATGCCCACGTGAGCCTTGACCCACGCGAACTCGATGGACCCGGACGTGTGGTGTACTGTGAGGTGTATTTTCGCAACCAAGGGGTGTGTGTTACTGCGGTTCTGGATGGCGAGAATGGCAGCGCTACTGTCTGAGTATATAACCGTGCGTGTGTGTTGGTTGGAAGAGGCCCATTCGCAAGCTTTGAGGATGGCTAGAAGTTCAGCCTGGAACACAGTACAACTGTTATGAAGCTTGAACTTCTTACTGACGGGATTGCGTTCTGCGCCATAGCTGACGAAGGCCGCCCCGACAGCTCCATCTTCGAGTTTGCTACCATCGGTGAAGGTGTGGGTGGTGTTAGGGTGAGCTCTTGACTGGAAGTCCTGAACCTCGCCTTGGGTCCAGAACATGTGTGAGTCATATGTATGTCTGTGGGCTGGATGAAGGAGAAGATGTGGAGGAGTCGGAAGTTCCAGTGTGATGTTTGCCGGAACTAGCGAGGACGAGCCAGAAAGGCGAGTGGCTTCGACCCGGTTCACTTCTTTGACTTTTAGGTCCAGGGGGGTGAACAAGGCGAGTGCGAGAGCAGCAGAGGTGGACACAGTCCTGAACCCTCTGATGGCCTTGAGGGCGAAGGCTCTCTGCATAGACAGAAGCTTCTTCCTCACGCACTTCTTATCAGCCACGTGCCCCCACACTCCGGCGGCGTATGTAATGATAGGCTGAATCACCTGTAAGTATATTATGCGTATGTTTTCTGGGTGGGCCCCCCATGTATGTCTGCAGAAGAAGGAGAGTCTATTGAAAATTTTGGTGGCTTTGTAGACTATGTGGTTAATGTGTTCGCGGAAGTTGAGTTTATCATCCAGAATTACACCGAGGAACTTGATGCTCTTCTGGAAGTGAATAGTGTGTGAGTCCATGGTAATGAGTATCTGTTTGGCTTTGGCGTTGAACGCTAAAGCCTGTGTCTTGGCGGGGCTGAACGAGAGCTTGACTCCTTTGCCCCAGCTGGTGATTGTGTGAAGTGCAGAGTTAATGTTATCCTGCAATTCAGACGCGGTTTTCGCTGATGCAACCAACAAAACATCGTCAGCGAAGGCTTGGAGTCGGCAGCCAGGAGGCAAATCGATTTCCAGGAGCTCATCGAGGATGATATTCCATAGGTGAGGGCCACAGGTCGAACCCTGGATGCAGCCCTTGGACATAGTTTTAGAAGCCCTACAACCGGCGTGGTCAAGCATGACTGTGCGTTGGTTAGTGTAGCTGAGGATGAGTCCGTAGATGTTGCGTGGACAACCGATATGCCTCAGCCGATGGAAGAGAGCGGGCCACCAAGCGTTGTCGAAGGCGGCCTTGATGTCTAAGGAGACGGCGACTGTGAGTAGCTTGTCAGTCTTGGCTTGTTTGATCAAGTCTATGGCTGCGTGGATAGCAGCCGTCGTGTTGGTCTGCGGCCGGAATCCGAACTGCTTCTTGCTCAATTTACCGGCCTTATCCGCGACGTAGGTCACTCGGCTGATAAAGAGCTTTTCGAGAAGCTTTCCGAACACCGGCAGCAAACCAATCGGTCTGTAGCCGGTCAAGTCAGTACGGTCAGTCTTATTAGGTTTAGGGATGATCTTAACATAAGCCCTCTTCCATTGTCGGGGAAAATGTTGGAGTGACAGACATCTATTCATGATGTCTGTCATGAATTTGGGAAAGAGTCGGAAGAACTGTAAACAAATGTCGGAGGTAAGTCCGTCGAGTCCGGGTGCCCTTTTCGGGTGCATTCCCTTGAGTGCCTCCAGAATCTCCCCCTCGGTAAAAGGGGGGTCCTCTGGAGTCTCAGGGAATTCCTTCATGTGAGCCCGTAGGTCATGTCTCACGTCCGTGTCTGTCGAGTCGTCAGGGTAGAAGTGGTCGAGTAGGGCTTTGGCGGTTTCGGCTGTATCTGTGGTGTAGCGACCGCCGACCTTAAGCGTGACTGGTGGACGTCGTGGAGCCGATTCCCTGAGAAGTCTATTAGTCAGAGACCAGACATTCTCCTTCGTTTGGAGTTCACAGAACTCCTTGAAGTGGGCGGTCGACTCCGCTTTAAGTGCAGTGGCGTATCGCTCTTTGAGGGTGTGTAGCTGTCGGGCCAGAGCATCCACCGGTTGGTTGGATTTCTTGGCCGCGTGTAGTTGGTGATGGGTGTGTATGACCTCGCGCTTGTGAGCTTCCAAGGCCTCTGTCCACCAAGGAGGCTTGCATTTCGCTTCCGGCGATCTGACGGGCATGGAATCCCTACAGGCGGTGTGTATATATTCGGTGATGGTGTCGATAAGAGACTCAAGCTGTCCAGTGTCCAGAGCGTGGATGTCTGATTCCAATGTGTCGCTGCTCGTGAATTGTGTGAGAATTGACTCCTTGAAGAGGCGCCAATTCGCTTTGTTGTTCTTGTAAAGGAAGGTGGTTGTGTTAAGATGTTGAGAAGTTTGTGATTTGTTTTGAAAATGCGAGTGTGTATATGTATAGTCGATTGCATTGTGTTGCGACGAGGGGCAAGCGTCCAGGTTCACCTTCCAGTCTGTAACTTGGTCGTAGACAAGTGACGAAACGAGTGTGATGTCGATTATGGAGGAGCGCACATGACCGTGGGTAATAGTTTCGAATGTGGGTGTGTTGCCCACATTGCATACCAAAAGATTGTGAATGAGGGAGAGTTCGATGATTTCCCTCCCTCTTGGGTTCATGCGTTCGCTCCCCCAGAGTGGGTGCCAACCATTAAGGTCGCCACCGATGATGCAGCGGGTGTTGGTGTTGTTGCTGAGAAGGTGTTCTAATGAGTGTAGTGTATCCGCCTCATCGACCCTGGGCTCGATGTAGACGGAGGCGATGAGTACCTGTTGGTGTCTGTGTAGTGTCCGAACCACACATAGGTTAGGGGTAGAGAATTGGGAGAGCCCGAGGAATGCGGTCTTGGTTTTGGCCAATATGCACGCCTTGACCCTCCCATCGGGTCCGCTAGGGAACTGGAAGATTTCCAGGCCTCTAATGGCCCCGACCTCGATACCCTTACCGGTGTACGGCTCAGACACTAAGGCTACGTTGTGTTCGCTATTAATGAAGTATGTGATGAACTCTTTAAGAGAGTGTTTTGACCTGTCTAAATTGCACTGAATAATTTTAATTTTATGTGGATCCATAATCGACCGAATTGAGTGTTCTGGTTTTGATAGTTGTTAAAATGGGGCATGTCTGTGACGTAGCCTTGTGTGTAGTGGGGTGGTTATTATTGAATTTGATGTTGTGTTGGGTACAGTTGTAGCACTTGGGAGGGTGCGGAGTGTCCTTGGTTGGGCATACGTCTTGTAGGTGGGTGTCTGATGCGCAATGAGAGCATCGTGTGGCCTCAGTCCGGCAGTGTTTTTTCACGTGCCCGAAGTTGAGGCACTTCTGGCACTGTAGGAATGGGGAGAAGTCCTCTGCATGAACCTTCTGGAAGTCCAGGCAGACTCTCCCCATCTCGACTATTGTTTTCCAGGTGGCTGGATTAGCCACAAGGACGGCGTTGTATAGGTGGGTGCTTCTATTATTGCCTCTTTTGAAGCGGAAGGTGATGTCGGTGTCACTGTATGTGTGAAGTTGCGGGTTTTGGCGCAGGAGGGTACTCACCAGATCCTCCGGTGCCATGTCGGAACTGATTCCCTTCAGCAAGATCATTGGTTTGAGCTTCCTTGCTGGTTCGGCTGTCACTGGTGCGTCTGGTTTGCTGCGAAGTTTGCTAAGGGCGTCGTCGCATTGCGCCTGGGTGTCAAACTCCACCCTGATTTTGTTATTGGAGACCGGTGAGACCCTCGCTGGAGCATACGTGCAATCTCTGAACGAGATGCTCTTTTTGAAGGCCTCAACGGCCTCCTGCCTGGACTTAGTCGGATTCTTGGTCGCAACTAAGATGGCGGGGCGGATGATTGTACTGGGTTTGGGCTGGATGGGTGCGGGAGCGGGGGGTGTGCGCCTGACAGGCTGTGCCGGGCGGCTTGCCTGTTGGGCGTAGGTGGGGTTTGGGATTGGGTTTGGGGTGGGCGCTAGAAGGTTACGGGGAGCGCGAGCTCTGCGAGTATTGGCGGGGGCGGCGGCGGCGGCAGCAGCAGCGGTGGTCACGGAGGCGGCGGAGGCGGAAGCCGCAACAGTGGCAGCTGAGGTTGCGGGGTAGGCGGCGGCAGCGGCATCGGCGGGAGCAGGCTGGGCCTGTGCGGGGCGGGCGTGCAGAGCCTTAAGCTCCTTGAGCTCAGCTTGCACACAGGCTACGGATCGAGTGAGTTCTCGCACCGATGAAATCATGGCGTCTTGAGCAGAAGAAGTGTCTGGGGAGTCGGCGGGGGCGGAGGGGGCAGGCAGCTTCGCGTGGAGCGCGATCGCCTTCCTGATCTCCTCCGCCGCCTGTACGATGTGCGTCTTGGCTGCGGAGGTGACGCTCCGATTATCGACGACCGTCTTGATGATCGTCGCCGCGAGCGCTGTGACTACGCTGTGTAGGGTGTCAGCATCGTACACATCTTCGGCCAGTGCCGGGAGGGGCTTGGGGTTGGCGGCTGGGGGCATACTGGCGCCCGCAATGTCTTTTAATTATCCGAAAGTGAATTTAGTATCATTGCATCAGAATTGGTGTGTAAAGAAACTTAAAAACCTTATATTTAAAAAACTATAAAAGATAAAATTATAAAATAAACACTAAAAAACTATTAAAACTATCCTTAACACTATAGAACATGAAAATTTTGGAAATCACTTTTCCGGGCGCGTTTTCCGCCACGTGGTAAATGTTTTAATGTCAGTTTTTTGTGTCAAAAACTAAAGATAAAATTATGTAAGATACCTCAAAAGAAGCGTCTCACCGAGCCCAGTTTAATGGTACAAAAAAAAAGGGGGGTGAGCGCTTTACTTTTTCGGTTATTATCGAAAGTGTGTCCCTGTCACTAAATTTTGCGTGTTTAATAGTTAAAATAAATCACTTTTCACAATTGTAAATACACTGTCTTAAAGAATTCGCGAAGACGCAACTTTTGGTGTATAACACGACACTATAACGCGCAAATTGCCACTTGTGCGATTTTTTAAGTGATGAGACGGTTAAAAGCGATCCGTTCGCGACGGCGTACGGCTGCAGACACTCGCATATAGTGGTTGCAAGTGTTCTCGCCTGGCTCTGGCTACAGCTTTCTTAGCCTCTCTTTTCGCAATCTTGTACGACTCGTGATCTTCAGGGGATTTAGACGCTTGCCACTTCTTAAAGAGCACTTTCTTCTCCTGTAACATCCTCTGGACTGTGGCATTCCACCACCATGACTCCTTGTCAATTTTGCGGCCTCCTTTCGCCACACCGAGGATTTGCTTTGCCGTTTTCGTGATTGTTGTCTGAAGCTTATTCCAGTACTCTTCGACGGACTTGCCTTCTGTATCCGGACTTATGTCCCCAGTGGCACAGTCAAATTCCGAGAACCTGGTGTGATCCAGCAGCCACCACTTGATTTGGCGGCGGCAACGCTCAGCGTGTTTACGGCGAGGCTTTACGCAGAGATCCATAACAAGGAGTCGGTGCTGGGCAGTTAGACACTCTCCGGGTATGACCTTACAGTTGGCCACGCGGCTGACAAGGCTTCTCCTAGTCAGAAGGTAGTCGATTTGAGTGGCGCTTCGACCGCTCCTGTAGGTGATAAGATGCTCAGGTTTCTTTTTGAAAAACGTGTTCACTACGGCCAGGTCAGCGGCGACGCAGGTTCGGAGAATGGTTTCTCCCTCCGCGTTACTTCGGCCGTAACCATATCCGCCATGAACACGTCCATACTCCTCGTGCGTCTCTCCCACATGACCATTCAAATCACCACCCAAAAACAATACCATGAGACAACGGTATGGCGGCTAGCACGTCACCGACACGCTCCCAGAACAGTGCCTTATCCGCATCACTGCATCCGGCCTGTGGGGCGTAAGCACTTATGAGGTGAGTTACTACTCCCTCAATAAGTACCCTTACCACCATAAGTCGATCGCAAATACGCTTGACTTCCAAGACACTGTCATGGTAGCGCTCGGAAAGCACAACCGCCACACCGTTCTCCCCGCCAGGAGAGCCTGTATAGATCAGCTTGTAGCCTTGCCCTATGTAACGGCTTCTGTTGGCCTTCCACCGTGTCTCCTGCAAGAACGCCACCGCCACTTTTCGTCTGGCGAGTGTGGCCGCAAGCTCTGTAGAGCGTCCCGTCAGCGTGCCAATGTTCCAGCTAGCAAAGCGGATCTTCGCAACAGGCGCTAACTTCTTTAGCCGGGTTCGCGCGGCACCCGGTAGCCCTCGCCCACTTGTCGCAGGGGCAAGGCGATCCCCCTGCGCGTCGTTATACGGCGACGCCCTAGCCATGTTGCTTTCTCTTTCCTGTCCTATCATTTTTTATTGGCTTGTTTGCCTATTACCGAGACGACTGCCGTCTGACTCCCGAACCTCTAGAGTAAACTCCAGAGGAAAAGCATCGCCAGAGCCCTTTCCGTTATCCAGCAGGGGTGCCACGTGCAGGCAGGGTTGGCTTGGGCTCCTAGATGGAATTGGAGCCTGTTACCCCCAAATGTTAAACATATAAATATTGAAATACACAATGATATTAAAAACTTTGATTATTCAGCAGCTTTGTTTGTTATCATTACTTGTGATAATAACTATATCATCTGTTCGTATAAGTCACCATATGTTTATACAGTTCTCAGTTAATCCCAGTACATAACTACCGTCTGGGTAAAACGAGCTCATGATTTACCTCCGTTACGTACATCCATGGTAAATTACCTGTAATAGAGCTTTTCCGATTCGCATGATAATTGGATGTATTATGTTATAGAATGTATATCATTACACCGTGTGGGTGTCATATTAGTTTCAGCCGTTCTCATATTAGAGTCACACTTTGACTGACATTAATACAGCCTTGAGAATATGTATTATGACATATGGAGTACACTTGACAGTTGACAGTTGACACGAGAGATATACATTACGCTAGAAAATGTAATTATATCAACGTTTAAGTTAGAATGTTTTTTTAAATACCGATACAAAACATCTGTGGTTATGTTTTAAAAGCGTGTTCTGAATATCAAAGCAAAACAAAATAAACCAAAGATTATAATCCCTTAATACAACATTAGACAAAGATCTGGCGAGGGTCGGGCACGTCTATTGTGTCACCTTAATTGTTATTGTACTGAATTAATTTGGTAGCTTGGCGAGATTAACGCTGTCAAAGCAATGTATCTCACTAGCGTTTTGATATTAACGATGGAACTAGTGAAATTTCATCAAGACATCAAAATGACAATTTTACAAAGAAGTTAAATTTGTATGTATAGTACCTTACTTTGAAATTGAATTTCGATTTTAAGAGCGTTAACTACGTGTAATTAAATTTAACAGATCGATTCTAGCACCGGACTCATCTAATACTACAAAGTTTTTTTTCAACAAAAACATTTAAACATGTGTATTTCATTATAATGTTCACATTTTAGGTCTCTACAAACTTGTTCAATCTGCCTCTGAAAGTTTTATAATATATCCCAATAAGGAAAAACGTGAATTGCTTTTAACTATATTTGTAATGTAAATAAATTAAAAAAATGTATTTTAAAGCATTGATGATTTATAAAAGTGACAAGCCATTTATATGAAAAAAAAAAAACTCGTTACGGTCATTATTTACGTAATAAAACCATTGTCGGCCTGTTTTATGATGAAAGAGGTACATTTTAAAACATCGTTTTCTCTTTTATAACTGCCACGGACTATGCGAAAACAGATTTCGGTGTGGTCTCATATACATTTAATATAATTCGGGTTTCGCTATCTGGCACTTAGTTATGTCATTTTGGCGATGCATCATATCTTTTGGTTCTTCCTAACCTGTGGTTAAGTGGGTCGCACGTGACCCGTGCGAGATACACAAGATAACTTTTAAACATGAGCTGGGTGACTAAAACCCAACACGTTCAGATAACACACTATTCGGACAATACTCCGCCTTTAATGGGTTTTATAATAAAATTTCAGAAACTTCTTTTACTCTACATGAAAATAAAGTTTCTAATTACGAACAAGTTACAAATAGGTAAATCGCAATATATTAGGGCGTGCAGAAAAAGCAATTTCTCCAAAAGATTCAGCTGTCATCCGCTGTCCGCAACAAATGCTGACAAGCCCGTCCCCGCATTAGACATATCACTTCTACTACAAAACGAGTTAGCAGAAATGCTATTGGGGTTTGTAAATTGAATGAAACCTTCAACGAAATTACACAGATAAATCTTTGTTCTGTTAGAGAAAAATTAAAGATATTTTTTTCTTTGGACGATTTTAAGCATAGTTTATGTTGATTACAATAAAACACAGGTGAATGTAAAGAGGGATAGCAACACATCCGTCAAGAGTATGATGAAAAAGCTCCTTCATCGTTACACTACTTTGCCATGATCCTTTGTGTGACGTCGTCATGAAGCTAACTGGAACAGCGACTCTCATTTGAACCCTCCATTGTTCTTGGACCAGTGTTACAGAAAATTAAAAAGGCAATTCCCTAAATGAGGAGATAAGCTTCGTGTGACACATATCAGACATATATGTTTAATACATACATAACGAATTAAATGTATATAACTTTGTCATTCTGTCCATCCAAAAATTATAATCCTTATACAGCCGAAGTAATCGGAATGGAATGAGATTCGATTTGCATGAAATTTTGTATGAAACTAGTTATGTTATTGGAAAAATGCAGATACTTTTTTTATCAAAAGTCCCGCAAGATCAGGAATGAAGTACAGTGGAAAAACTCGAATTATCATACATGTATGGATGTAGAGTTTTACATTTTTCATTCCACATTGAATTTATTACTAAGCAAAAAGCAAGTAGACTTAAATATATATGTAACAGTAATGAATTTTATGTCGTTATACGAAAGACCATACATCAAAATTGATAGATAGTCTATAGGAGGATTTTACATACGTTTAGCATCTATTAAATATTGATGTTAAGTCGATTCGAATGTAAATATGTTAATTGTCATATGCTATCATCCCACATAGCGTACATTAAGATTACAATATATTAATGACTCATTATATTTCCTTGTTGGAGGCGTTTAAATGGGTAGGTGTCATGCCTTTGAAGGGACTGGGTACGCCAAAATAGTACATAAAGCTAAACATTAAGGGCTACAATGCTGGATCAAAATTCATGGTAAAAGTTCTGAATCTTGTACGTGTAGGATGACGGTATGTTTGTTCATAATGTACCTTCTGTAATTGGGGGTCATAACCAGGGAAAGATAGGACCTTGTATTTAAATATAATTATACATTAAATTGAAGTTAAATAGTATTAGAATATAAAGTAACACCAGCTCACTGAACAGTTATTAACGACTGGTTCAAAATAAAATTAGTTTTCAATGTTGCAGCCATTCTGACATCCAATTAAAATACAACCACAAAGCATTATGTTCGTCTAAACATTGCGGCTAATCACATAATTAAACTGGCTTCCCAAGCATTTATACAGATGGCAATAATGGTAGGTGGTAGAGCCATGCCGTAAGGCTAATTGGGCCGGCTCGCACCGGGGCGGTACCACCCTCCCATAGAAAATCGGCGTTAAGTAATAGTATCTCGTCAGAGATACTATTGCGTTTCGTACGGTAAATGGGAGTTCCGGAGGCCCATTTTCTGAATTGGTTGGAGGGAGTATCCATTCTTCCTTTCAGCCAATTCCCTTCCCAAGCTCTCTCAAAATGGTAGCGGTGTATAAAAATAAACTACCCCAGGAGGGTACCGACGCGATTGGCATCGGAGAATCCCTCCCTGCAAACTCTGTTTCAGGCTGCCCCTCGTATTCTGGGGGGGGCAATACCCCGCTCAATACCTCTGTCCGAGGTCGCAGGATGCTCAGAGTAGATTTCTGTAACATTAGGGGGCTACATTCTAATATCAACGCCGTCCACTACCATCTCGAGACGGCCAAGCCGGCCCTTCTATTTCTTACCGAAACCCAGATATCGTCTCCGGCCGACATCTCCTACCTCCGATACCCTGGTTACTCCATGGAACACAATTTTTTGCCTCGTGCCGGGGTATGTGTATACATTCGAGACGATATCTGCTACCGTCGCCTTGACTTCACTGAAGGTTCGGACCTATCTATAGTTTGGATACGTGTAGACTGCGAAGACCACCCACGCGTCTATGGGTGTCTTTATAGGTCCCACAGCGGGAACGCAGAGACAGACCGGCTTATTGAGCAAGTCCAAATGACCGCAGATTTAACTCTCCAACAGATCCCCTCGACTGAAATTGTCATTCTTGGCGATTTTAATGCTCATCATGCCGAATGGCTTGCGTCAAGAACAACTGACCATGCAGGGAGGTCTTTTCACGATTTTGCTCTAGCCAATGATCTCACTCAATTGGTGACATCGCCTACGAGGGTGCCAGATGTGAATGATCACACGCCTTCACGGTTGGATCTTCTGCTGACCTCGCATCCAGAAGGCTACGAAGTGCATGTTGATGCCCCTATAGGCTCTTCTGACCACTGCCTCATCTGGAGTACAGTGCCGATTACACGCCCCCCTAGGCCGCGATGTGCAGGTAGTCGTCGCGTGTGGCACTATAGGTCAGCGGACTGGGATGGGATGCGGACCTTCTTTGCGTCCTACCCCTGGAATGGAGTCTGTTTTAGGGAGAATGACCCTGATGTCTGTGCTGTATCTGTCGCTGATGTCGTGCTTCAGGGTATGGAACTATTTATTCCTAGCTCTGTGGTACCCATCGGCGGCAAGTCGCAGCCCTGGTTTGATCGGCTCTGTAGAACGGCATCACGTCGTAAGCAGGCCTGCTACCAAGCCTGGGTTGACGCGATTGCATCGAATAGTCCTAACGCCAATATTCTCAAAACAGAATACAACTCTAGCTCCAGATCCTTCAAAAGAGCAATCACTAGAGCAAAATCAAAATACATTGCTAGGCTTGGGGAGAAGCTTGCCCGCCTTCCCTCGGGAACTAGAGCTTTTTGGGCCCTCTCTAAGTCTGTGCAAGGAAACTTCTGCAGGTCATCTATACCATCCCTGCGCATGGAGAAGGACTTGTTGGCGCATACGGCAAAGGAGAAAGCTGATCTACTCGGTTCCCTATTTGCAAGTAACTCGACTTTAGATGACAGGGATTACTCGCCGCCTACCATCCCGCGTGTCGAGGGATTTATGCCAGAGGTAAAATTTTCACAAAGAACTGTGCGTAAAACCTTGTTCTCTCTGAACATTAACAAGTCGAGCGGCCCCGACGGTATTCCTCCTCTTGTGCTTAGGACTTGTGCTCCGGAGCTGGCACCAGTTCTAACGCGTCTCTTCCGGCTCTCCTATTCCGCCGGCGTTGTCCCAAAATCCTGGAAGACTGCGTTAGTGCACCCGATTCCTAAGAAAGGTGACCGCTCTGATCCCTCCAACTACAGACCCATCGCAATCACCTCTTTGCTCTCCAAGATAATGGAGTCCATCATTAACCGCCAGCTTCTTGGGTATCTAGAGGAACATCAGTTGATCAGTGATCGCCAATATGGCTTTCGTCACGGACGGTCAGCTGGTGATCTTCTAGTATACTTAACGCATCGATGGGCCGCGGCTATTGAGAGCAAAGGCGAGGCTTTAGCAGTCAGTTTGGACGTAGCGAAAGCTTTTGATCGGGTCTGGCACAAAGCGCTTCTATCGAAGCTTCCTTCTTATGGGCTTCCTGAGAAATTGTGCCCGTGGATAGCCAGCTTTCTTACGGAGCGTAGCATAAAGGTCGCTATCGACGGTCTGTGCTCGAATTTAATGCCCGTGAACGCTGGTGTCCCACAAGGCTGCGTTTTGTCTCCCACTCTGTTCCTTCTGCATATCAATGACTTGCTGCAAGTCGGCAATATTCATTGCTATGCAGATGACAGCACTGGTGATACGCTCTATACCGGAGAACGCACTCTTTCTCAGGACCACGTCGCTGAGTGTCGAAGTAGACTTGTGTCTAACATCGAGTCTCTACTCGATCAAGTGTCATCCTGGGGACAAACCAATCTGGTTACATTTAACCCAACTAAGACACAAGTCTGCGCGTTCACCGCAAAAAGAACACCCTTTGTCGTAACAGCTCGGTTCCAGGGCAATTCCCTTAAACCCACAGCCAGTATTGGTATTCTGGGTGTCACCATTTCGAGTGATGTACAGTTTCGTAGTCACTTGGAAGATAAGGCCAGGTTGGCGTCTCAAAAACTTGGCGTACTTCGCAGAGCGGGGCGGTACTTCACTTCGGGTCAACGCCTGACGCTGTATAAGGCGCAGGTTAGACCTCACATGGAGTACTGCTCTCACCTCTGGGCTGGAGCGCCCCAGTGCCAACTTCTTCCTTTTGACCGAATCCAACGTCGTGCAACTCGAATGGTCGACGATACCGATCTTACCAATCGGCTTGATACTTTAGCCCTGCGGAGAGACGTTGCCTCTCTCAGCGTCTTCTACCGCCTTTACTATGGGGAATGCTCTGAGGAGCTCTTTGGGCTACTGCCGGCAGCTGAATTCCACCACCGCACTGCACGTCACAGGTTGCAATACCATCCGCACCACCTTGACAGCTGGCAGTCAACCACAGTGCGCTTCAAAAGAAATTTTCTGCCACGCACCACCACCCTGTGGAATCAGCTGCCTCGCGACGTATTCCCTATCCATTACGACTTAGGGTGTTTCAAGAAGAGAGCGTACCTATTTTTGAAAGGCCGGCAACGCACTCGGGCGCCTTCTGGCTCCTCGAGTGTTTATGGGCGGCGATGACTATCTCTCACCAGATGGCTCGCCCGCTCGTTTGCCCCCTATGATATAAAAAAAAAAAAAAAAAAAATAATAATAATTAATTTAGCCGGCTAATAACGCTTCGGTCAACGGTTAGCTACCATTTAGAGAAAGATGTGTGATATCGAAAGGTTAGATTTGTTTACTGACGCGACGCATTCGGATTTGGTTAATTGGTCAGTTAATTAATCGTCTACAATCACAAACACGCACAGCGCCTTAAGTTAATGAATGATAAAAGCTGAAGCTACGCGAAGACTCACATAGTAGTAGGTTCTTCCAGCTTCCTCCGAGAGCGCGGAGACAGCGATGCAGTCTTGGAGTGTGGGTGGCTGATGGGGCGCGGGGCAAGGGAATCCTAACATCACCTTCAGAAGAACTTCTTCCAAGTAAAGAGGACCCTCTATCCCTCGACAATGATCTGCGTCTACCGAACGGTGCTCCTCTGACCGTAGCAAAGTTTTCCTCACCGGTTATACTAAACGTTTCCATGGGAATACCTTCGGGCTCGCGTCTATTCCTCACTGAAAATGTTCTTCGAAATCCATTTGCCAGACCTTCAATAGTTTTTCGCTTCGGTCTGGTTATTTCCTCCGAGCTTATAACAGTTATGTCATCCATGTCTCGATTTGTGTATGACTTATGACGGGATTCCAAACTGGACAAGTCTTCTATACCGCCGTGGCGATATTTCAATGTCTTCCCTCTGTCTACTAAACCGAGTTCATCGTAACTTTTGTATGTTGATGAACGTCGTGGCGCGGGCGGGCGACCGGCTCTGTCTATAGTCATGTTTTTGTTTTAGGGTCCTTAGTAGAAACCTGGTAAAACAATGCTGCGTTTTAGCATTTGATTCCATCAGAATCCGTATTCGTATCCTGATTATCTTGACTTGCATACGAGCTTATTTTTAAAGAAACGAAACTTTTTGGATGTTTACTATGTTCTTTTTATTACACTGAAATATCTACCCTAATTTGTCGTTGGGCGTAATATTCAAAGTTTACCTTGAAAATGTTATTAACATTGATGTATGGATACTGGTCTCAGTGATAATTTCCGTGAGCGTCGCTCATTTACGTCAGTGTCGTGACTGCTCCACGTTATACGGAAACGAAATAATAAAATTTACTCGCTTGTACTAAACGACTTTACTACCCTTTATTGACAGATATTGGCTTCAGTTTTATATTTTACTGTTGTCAAGGAACCAATTAGTATCGTTAGAGTTTACCGGAGTTTCCAAAACTAATTCACTATTTACCCATGAGGTTCAGTTTCAGTCTACGTTCAAGAGCGATGTGGTTTAAAACCAAACTTTCGGGATATTTGAACCATACGCAGTTTATAAAACAGTTTCACAGCGAATTCAAGTGATTTATTGGCAGCGATCGTGGTTTCTCGTGAAGTACTAACACGCCATATAACTAGAAATTGATAAAATATTTGATATCGATTTATATCTGTTTCAGTTTTGTAAAACAAATATTTTTATACAGACTGAATGAGTGTTAGTCAATTATGAGGCGTTATAATCCAACCGAGTCGAGTGTTTGAAAATAACAGACAAGTTTGCTTTTGAAATCTCTCGAGCATCTTAAGCCAAATTACCAAAGAAAACAAACCGCGCCCATTCACAGCCGGACCGTACGATGTTTTCCAAACAATTATAGAATTAGGACTTCCTACTTGGGTCGTTAAAAACGGATTTGACCTGATCTAGATAGTTACCGAACATCCTTTACACTAGTCATAAGTACCTACATTGTTTCGGAGAAAGTAATTTGCTTTGAAGTACGTTCATTAGTAAGAGGAAAAATATGTCAAGAACAAATCTTAGATTGTGTACGTTTGTAAGCTGAGAAGATAAATGTAAATTACAATAAAACATTCTGAATTTCAATAATTCTTTAAATAAGACAAATATTTAAAACAAATTGAAATGTGAATTAAGTAATAAGCAATTTATTCAAAGAGGATGAACAAATTTGTAGTTTCCGCTTCGTTGCTCCAAAATTAATATATTGAAAGGAGATTTAAAGTATTATTTTATTCACTATCGTCTAAGACAAAATTCTAAACTATTTAATCTTAAGTCTAGACACGAGAAAATATATTAGTTTTAAACTATAAGACTTTTATATAGTATTTTAAACATGTTCAGTCAAAACAAACTTCAATTATCACTGAATGTACATTGCGTGTCACATACTATACCAATGGTTCACGATATCATGTCAAACTGTGTCAACTTGTGTCGTCGTAAAATGACAGAGAGCTTTATATTTCATAATACTATTATAGCTTTATATGAAGCTTCCGTGAGGCACATGTGTGGTAAATAAACATTGAATGTAATACAGCTTCTTGTAGTCACGTTATTGTTATTAGTATATTCCTTTTTAAATGACTTGATAGGTCGTTCGTATATGATTATAATGATTCTTTTTATATGGTTGATAGATTTCATAACTACGCAAAGCTTCTAGAACGCAATCTCTTAAGCCCCCGCATTATACATCAGTAAATGTTACTCTAAAACATTTTGAATACATAATTTATAAATATTTTGTTCCAACATAATACTAAGAACGTATTTTCAGACTGAAGTAGATTACCGTTTTTCATTTTATAAATAAAAGTATTATACATAGTTTAAATATACATTAAGATAGTAAATATAGATAATAAATATTGAAGTGAATTGTTTTATAAGTTTCCTTTGTTTGGAAAAGACGTTTAACCCATTTATTTATTTTTCATGTATAATTCGTATATACATATATTCGAAAATTATTTAAGACAATTTTAAACACATTAAAGTAGAGAAAATTGTAACTGATATATAATACACAATGTACAATATTTAATATTAAAAATTTGATTTATCATAGTGAGTAACAGAACTCCATATAACCTCAATAACGATGGTATGATTAGGTATTTATTTTCTTAAAGGGCAGTAGGAGCACCCGATGCTAAATAGTCACCAATATTAGACATCAACAACATAAAGGATTATGAAAGTAGTTCGCCTATTTTTAACGATTAAGACGACATATTTACAGGCTTTATATGAACTTATATTTCTGAACTATTACTAGTAAAGAATATTGAAATTATAAAGTACTCTGCACACTCATAATCTAAGATAACACAAGATTTGTATTCACAAAACTCATTGACGTTTTGAAGAGTGCGGTTTCGAGAGATCAAAGTATTAAGGAAGAAACAAAACTTCATTCCTTAAACTCTCTTCCCCGCATTACGATGCGTAAACATACTGCACTAATTGAGGCTCATGAGTATTATAGTACAAAAGATTAAAAACTTTTTGTTATCTGTATTGGAAGTATTTAGAAAATAACTCGAGTTCCATTCTTTCAACTCACTAATTTCAGGGTACCGAATTAATTTCAAAAACGCACGGTGAAATTACACTGTTATTACATTTTGTGAGAGATCATTTAGCAGTTTTTGCGATGTTTCTCGTCTGAACAGTCTGCCCCTTTTAACATCGTGATGCTGGCGAGCGTGTGTGGTCCGTATATGGTGAGTTTATCGACCATCGCGCTACTATATTCGAATCAACTTTAACCATTGACAATGCGATTTCCAAGAACATTTGGTCCGAAGGAGGAAGTCAGCTTTAATATTATAATAAATACCATTGTGAAAATGCAGATAAGGGGACAATACCGCGACGCTAAGGACAGGCAAATGGGAGACTAAAATATACGCCATTATGACGAAATAACTAGAAGCTTACCGAGTATGATAAAATACTGCTTACATTTTGGAATATAGCAATATATTTTAATATCTTGTTCATAATAATACAAATGCCAGTCGCAATTCACCAGCGTATTGTAGAATATCTCCAGCGCTGAGGTCAGCGATTGAAAACAGCTCTCTAAGAACAAAGAAAGTCACACTATCAATAACTAACAGTGCTTCATAAACAGGCTCAAATGTCACTGGAATTAATTTATGCACTGTCCATTCACTTTGTATTATATAAACATCCTGTATTATATAAAAACAATTTTAGACAGAACTTTTGTAGAGTATATATGTTCGTATTATTATCAGTTCCACAAATATAGACTAAGTGAGAATATTTTTCAAGAGTCACCTTTCTCGAAATTGATTAAATAGCATTAATTTAGTTTCCGTTGTGAAGACTCAGAGTCATTAATCTTGCCGATTAACAGATTGTGACAGGTACAAGTGGCAATAATGTAACACGTTCTATAATCATACGATAAAAACATCGAATCGATTACAAACGCTAACGAGACAGGGGGAATGGCCGTGGCCATCCGTCAGCAGAGAAATCTGCAACGAGGCTGAATTACGGGACTCCATTAGCGTGACCGAGCCGAACAATATCTGACCCCTGTTAAAACACTATACATTAATAAAACTCACCTCAGGGCACAATACGAGTATGCACTGCATACGACGATCGGAATATAAGTGTTACATTAATTATTGGTACTATCGTGGATCGCTGGAGTATTAAAAACACATATTAGACTGATCTGTAGATTATGAATCGTGATGGCTGTAACGAGGGATTTAAAATGGTACATCATGTAAACAGCGGAGAGAGCGTTGAAAGGGAAAAGATTTGTGTAGGTCGATAGCAAGTCATGAGGCAAGGATGGCTTGAGTTATTTATCTCAGGTGAAAGCGGGGTCCGCAGATAATCCTAAATAACCGCGGGGCGTGGAGGGTGTAAATCATTATGAACCATCCACGAAGCCAACAAACAGGACTCCATAATGACAACATTAATATTCCAAGTATTATGACAAACTTGAATAGGAACAATATATTAACTATTTTGTAGACTTGTCTGCAGTGAATATACTCGTAATTTTTGTTTGAAGGTGAAATTGTATTCGGTGTCGAGACTGAAATAACTGTGTTTATAATATTTCAAACCCACGACTATCCTGTCGATATTAAAATTGAATATAACAGATTCCAAGGTTTATTTAAACAGAACTAGATTTCGTTAGAGTTGGGTTTCAATTTCATTCTCAAAAAAAGCAAATTAATGCTACACCGTGGTGGTTATGTGTCATCGTTGGCCACGATTTCGACAATTTCACTTTACTTGTTTGGTTTTTTATAAAGATACTCTATTTTAAACAATCATAAATGTTTTTGCTTCTAACGAAAGTTGTTTGAAATAAACAAAAAGTGTGTTCATAAAGTAAGCTTCATCTGTTAAAAGTAAAGGTAAATTTGTGAAATAAAGCAATAAATTCAAAAAAAAATAAAATCCCTGTTGCCTGTTCGAGTCTCGTTAGCAGGCGACGTCCAATAAGGTGACAACAAGAGTAATACGATTCGGTCTTTAGCCACACGGAAAGCTTTTAAGACAAGTGTATTTGTATTTCAAAGAAAACAGAGTTGGAGATGATTTGTTGTTATAAAAATAATATAGCAACTGTTACTAGTATTGTTGATCTAAGAATCTATAGTAAGATAATCTATGAATTGAATTAGAAAGCTGTATTACTGTACCAGTCAAATACTTCCGGCAATATATAATAATCAATAGTTCAACACATATTAGCGTTCAGGCGTAATTTCTAAACAATCTGTGAGTGACTTTCGCCAGCTTCGATTATTGAGATTAGTGTTATTTTCGTATGTCAGATTTGTATGGCTTTATTTACTCTTGTAAGCTATAGAGCGGCCGTTGACATTCGAACAAAAAAACTAAATTGGTTTCAAACTGTATTGGGGTCTCAAAGGCTTGATGGATTGACTGATCA